CTATCATCTCTTCTATTTCCTGGGCTTTTTGATCATTGTTCATATCCTTTGTTGAACACTTTCTAGTTTCCCAACTGTTATTTTTTAAATCTTTTATCTCCCTGTGATTCCTTATCATAATATAAAAGCTTTGAAACATGGACATTATTTTTTCTTGCAACATACTTATTTCCTCCTGTTGAAACATCTTATCTTTTCTTGATAAGTCCAAATTTTGCTTCGTAGTCTGTCAATTGTCCAGTGACGTGCGGTGAGCTTCATGGCTGGTGAGGCAAGCGCAAAAGCCCCACTGAAGCCCTGGCACATCTTTAAGATTTGTAGACTTCAACTCCCAGAATTCCTCCTCCAGTCATGTTGCGATGACATCTGCATGGATCTGCTCCACTTCGCTTTATTCATGGGGGTGGGGAAGGCTGCCGCTGAAAATGCCAACAAGACCCCGCCGCCACCAGAATAAATGCTTCTGCCTCCTCCTCCTCCTCCAACAGCACCACCACATTTGCTGCCTAGTGCTGTGGCCTTTTTTCCTGCTCCTGCTCCCTCCCATGGACTCATGGCTCCTCAAAAGCATGGCAGAGGAGAAGGGGGCAGGGGTAAAGTGGAGCCCAGCTCAGGTGCTCCGAGCAAAGGGGGAGACGCAGCTGCCATGGGTGGGGGCGCTGGCGGGACTTTTGCCGGCTTCACCTCAGCTGCAGCATCGGGTGGCAAATCCAGCAGTGCTGTTGGAGGAGGAGGATGTGGCAGCAGATATTCCAGTGGCAGCAGGGGCTTTGGGGCTTCACTTCAGCCGCAGTGCCAGGTGCAAGCGGCTAAGACTGGCCGCCCACAAAGGACATTTTTGAGACATTTGAGACATTTTATTAAGACTTATAGGACCTCCCCGGGCTTGCTTTGCTGAACATGGAGTGACTGAGGCTAGTTTGAGGCTAGTTTGAGTGGCTGCGGCCGGCGCAAACTACCGTCAGTCACCCCGCACTCATCAAAACAAGTCTGGGGAGGTCCTTTGCAGGCGGCCAGTCTTAGCAACGATATATTACTAATTCTTTTTAATGTGAACTCGAGTCTCCCCCAAACTGATTGCCTCTGGCATAGAAGCAGCCATACTTCCGAGTACGCCTCGCTATTCCAAGCCAAAAACANCATGGAGAGATCTTCATGAATTTCATTGTTGAACTACCTGAGAGTTCTGGAAACACAATGATCTGGGTTGCCACAGATCTTTTCTCAAAATAGGTTCATTTCATTCCCTGCCAAAAGATCCCTACTGCTAAAGCCTTGTCTAAAGTGTTTTTGGTCCATATTTACCACTTGCATGCACGATGTATTATTTCGGACAGAGGGTTCCAATTCATGTCCAAGTTCTGCAAAGCCTTTTTGAATCTACTTGAGACCAAACAGGGACTTAGTTCTAGTCATCATCCACAAACAAATGAGGCCATGGAATGAACAAACTCAGTTCTGGAACAGTACCTGCACTGTTTTATTAATTACCAGCAGGCAAATGGACTGAACTGAACTGGACTTTTGCAGAAATAGCCATAATTCAGTTTACACTAGTACAGGTTTTAGCCCTTTCAGAGTGGCCACAGGGCAACAATTTAATGCTATGCCTGAGTTACCCTCACATGAACCAGATATACCCTTGAAACAGTGGATCAGCTATTTGCAAACCATTTGGCTGGTGGTCTGCAAAGCCTTGAGGCAAGGCTGCCTAAAAAAGCACAAGCAGACAAGAAATGAACAGGACCCAAACCTTATAAAGTGAGGGACAAAGTTTACCTTTCCATCAAGTTTCTAAAATCTTTGCAGCAATCTAAAAAGTTGGCTCCTAAATATATTGGGCCTTTCACAGTTCGTATTATTAACCCTGTCACGGTGGAATTACAAGTCCCTAAGTTATTATGGCAAATCCACCACGTTTTCCATTGTAGCTTATTGAAGCCTGAAGTCACCTTTGATCTACCCCTGTTCTGCCTCCTATTATGAACAACATTTTGAGGTTCAGGAAATTCTTGACTGTAAGAAATTCCATGGGACAATTCAATACCTGGTGGCTTGGAAACACCTCCCCTTGTCACAAAATGAATGGGTTCACACACAAAAAAACATGTCCATGCCTCTAAATTAGTACATATATTTCATCACACATACCCTGACAAACCTCATTGATTTTATGTTTCCTTTGTCTCCCCTTCCTTCTTTTGTTTTCTTTCGGGTGGACTTTCTGTTTTTCTAGTGGGGCGGCATATCAGGTCCTACATATTTCTACAGGGATGCTGGCATTTTGGTGGGAGGAAATGGAGTAATCTCTATATGAAGTTTCAGTTTCCCTACAGTGTGTGTGTGGGGGGGGGTTGGTTAGCATTGCTTTAAATAGCTGGATTTAAGTGAGAAGCTTCACTTTTTGCATAGATCTCTTGTTATCACAAACCTTTCAATAAAATCTCCTTTTGGAACAACTTCAGTTTCAAGAGTCCTGTTTCTTGGGCAGATTGGAGAGGCAAGACCCTACAAAGGATTTATTACACTTAATTGAAAACCATTTCTATTTGGACTTTGTTGGGAAGATAGACCCACTGTGGAGACTGAATTTATTATATTTAATTAATAAAAGATCCTATTAAAAAAGAAACATGGATATTTGATCCATGATGAATTACTGTTAACTTTTGAGAAGATTTGGGATAGATAAGATGCCATGGCAAATTAGTGTTCCTCCTGTTAACTATTTTGCCATGAATATAGTATACAGAATGACAGGGCAATAATTTCAAAATAGTTTTACTAATTTAAAAAAGTTGGGGGACCCGTTTTCCAAGGAGTGGAAACCAATATTGTAAGAATGTATTAATCAGTACTGTTTCTTTGGAACAGAGTATTGGTTGGAATTATATATTTGCCTTCCTGTCTCATAGATAAGTCATTGCTTTAGAGTTCATTGGAGGTATGCCAGGTAAATAAAAGTAAAAGTCAGAAGAGGAATGTAAATATGGATTGCTGCTGCTGCTAACCTAAATGCAAAGATTACTATTAGACTATGTTGATGGCTGGGTCAGAGACAGGGAGTGTGCTTGCTTTTATTTCCTGATGATTTTTTAAAAAGGTTTTGATTATTTGCAAGCAGCTTTTTATTTCTTTTCCACACACAACTTACTAATTAGTTATTGCCGGGTTTGCTCCTTTGAGACAGGGAGGCTGATAAATTTTATTAAAACTTCTCTAACACATAAATGTTCCATGTTAAATGAAGATTTATAATGAAATTTTAAGTAATAAACAATTCCCTTGTTACTCTTATTAAAGATTCTTAAAGCAATCTAGTGGTTTTTAGGCTAAAAAGTAGGAAGTTAGTGCTTGGTTTGATTTCCCATTGTTTTCTAAGATTGGAAGACTGAAAATATTTAATGTTTTGTTCCATTGGGAAAAAAACAGTTTAGAATGTCTAACCTAAATATATATGCATTTAATGTTTGCATACAGAATAGATTCTTGCAATAACTTTTTTCTTTTTCTTTTTTCTTTTGAATTTTTTTTAATTGAACAAAAAAACACACAAAAAGAATCATCCTTCATTACATTTTTAGAAAGTGTGTATATTGGTTACAGATAACTTTCGTGCATTTCTTCCACAGTCATCACTTATAGTTCATATTAGATTATANAGCAACTACCCTGGCCTTTTTAATTATTTTAAAAATTCTTTCCTTTTCCTCATTTGACTGGTGAGGCTCCGCCTCCCCTGCCTCCAGTGACTGCACGTCCCTGCAATTGTCTATCACTGCCCCAGAGTCTCAATTATCTTTGGCTTCAGAAAGTCAATCTGGAAACCATTTACTCAATCCTGATGTTGTTCCTCAGTGGATGGGCACTTTAGAAATGATAGAAACATTGCAAGCCAGAAATTTATTCATTTGTTTAATTCAATTTTTACAGTTGCCCATCTCAGAAAAGTGACTGGGTGATGAACACACATACATACATACATACATACATACATACATACATACATACATACATTACAATTTTCATGTAGATTATAAATGTCATGGCCAGGGCTCATATCTTACACTCTCAGTGAATCTGATGCTGAAGAAACTGCTCTAGCTGAACCTGTGGAATGTCAGCCTCAGGAAGGACAAATCAGAAACAACACAGGGCTTTTCAAACACAGACAACACTGGAGTAACCAGAAAAGTCAGAGGATGTAAGACTTTCCTGTCCATGCACCTAATGAGTAGAGATGATAGCAAAATAGACATTGGTCTTACCTGAGATGCCCATTCTCTGGGCAGTGGAGGAATAGCTTAACTCAGTCTGTCAACCAATTGGACTGAGTCTGCAATCTGTGATGATGCACCTCCTCTGCCAGCTTTTGATGAAGGTGTCACAGCAGACTGATGTGTGATTGTGAAAAAATGTCTCCTCTGGGGCCCAGGACCGGACATGTATCCATGTGGGGCTGGATGCTATCTCCACTGTCCAGGAATGGGACATAACAAAGCCTGGCTTGTCCTTATGGGTAGGACATTGTCCAGACCGAAGTCCCCTGATTAGTGTATACTCTCTGCAGAACCTACTTGCCAAAGGCAGCCTCTGCCAAGGCATAGCTATCCAACTTGTAATGGCAAATAAATGGGATTGGAGAGGCCCATGTGGTGGCTTGACAGATCTCTTCTATCGAAGCCTGCGTTGCTCATGCCCCAGTTGTGGCTGCACTCCTGGTAGAGTAGGCAGTAATGTGTCTTGGCAGTGGTAATTTGTAGGCTTTTGCAATGCAGGCCCTGATCCAACAAAGATGGGATTACCTTGTTGCCCATCATGGCAGGCTGAAAGGAGATGAACAAGGATTCTGTGCATCTCAGTGAAGAGGTCCTCCTGATCCAGATGCAGGGGGCCCTTCAGACATCTAGAGTGTGCCACTTCCACTCCAGACAATGGACTGATTCAGGGCAGATGTTTGACAACACCAGCTCCTGGGCTCTGTGAAACAATGTGTTTACCTTAGGGATGAAGGATGGGTCCAGCCGCAACACCATCCTGTCCGAATGGAACACACAGAAGTCTTGCCTCACCAATAAGGCTGTCAGTTCTGATACCCGCTTGGCTGATGTGATGGCCACCAGGAATGCCACCTTAAGGGTAAGGTAGCAAGATAGTTAATCCTCAAGGGTTCAAAGAGAGCCCTGGTGAGGGAGTTCAGCACTTTGATCAAATCCCAAGTTGGATATATGTGGACAACTGGAGGTCTGAAATTAGTGGCACCCCTTAAGAACCATCAGACCAAAGGGTGGTGGGCCAGGGATTCTAGAGACCTGCAAGTCAGAACAGAAGAGAGGGCTGCTACCTGTCTCCTGAGAGTATTAGGAGACAAGTCGCTGTGAAGTCCTTACTGGAAAAATCCCAAGACTCAAGGAATGGAAGCATTGAAGTGTACAAGGTCCTTGCTCGAGCACCAGTGGCCAAAGGCTCTCCAGGTGGTGTTGTATATATGGTTGGTCAAAGGCCATCTTGATGCCTGGATCATCCTGATGACCCTCGTGGATAGATTGTCCATGCTCAGAACCCTCCGCTCAATCTCCAGGTCAACTGAAGCCACTGAGGGTCCATGTGGATGAGTGACCTCTGGCTGAGCAAAATCTTGGTTGGGGAGATCCTCCAGAGTGGAGCCATGGAAAGGCTCACCAGGTCCACGAACCAAGGCTGTTTGGGCCAGTATAGCTTCACCTTCTCCTCCTCCTCCAGCATCTTCCTGATGACCCTCTGGATGAGTGGAAAAGGAAGGAAAGCATACAACAGCCCTGGAGGCTATGGGCAGCAAAGGGCATCCACTCCCTCTGTCCCTGGGACTGTGTATCTGGTGTGGTACCTGAGCAGCTGGCTGTTGTCTGGAGTGGCAAAGAGATCAAGTTCTGGAAGTCCATACCATTTGGTCAAGTCCCAGAACAGGTTAGGGTGCAGGCACCACTCTGTGTGATTGACAGTGTGGTTCAGCTGAACCAGTCTGTCTGTACATTTGCCATCTCCGAGTTGTGCTCTGCCCTTATGGACAGTAGATGTCTCTCTGCCCAGAGGCCCAGTTGTTCAGCCTCTTGCATGAGGGATCTGGAATGTGTCCCCCCTTGGCGGTTGATATAGGCCTTTGTGGCCGTGTTGTCTGTGAGGACCAGGATGTGTTTGTTGGCCATGCTGTCCTGGAAGTGGATGAGGGCCAGATGGACCGGCCAAAGTTCCAGTCAATTTATGTTGTGGCTCAGATCTGGCTGGAACCACTGGCCTTGAGCCATCATTGATTGTAAGTGTGCTCTCCAGCCACAGAGGCCGGCATCTATTGTCAACGTCAGGCGATCTGGCTCTCTGAAGACATTTTTGTCCATTTTTGTCCAGATTTATGGAGAACCCTTGGTCCTGTAGAATCTGAAGGATAAATTTCAGGTCTCTCTCTGCCTGGGTTGCTGATCTGGATTGGAGTAGGATGTTGTCCAGATAGCACTGGATCCTGACTTCCCTGGTATGGAGATGGGCTGCTAACACTGCAAGCAGCTTGGTGAACACCCTGGGGGCTGATGAGAGGCCAAAAGGGACGGCCCTGTACTGAGAATGCTTCCCCACATAGAAGAAGTGGAGAAACTGCCTGTGGGTGGAAAGAATGGGTACATTCAGATATGCCTCTGTGAGATCCACTGATGTGAGGAAGTCACCCCACCCCCCACCGGCGAGACCCTCCAGGATGGTCTGGAGTGAGTGCATCTTGAACAATGTGGCGGTTCAGATGCTTGAGGTCTAAAATTACCCACCAACCCCCTGAAGTCTTTGGGACAATGACCATGTGGGAGTAGAATCCCTGACCCTGTTGCTCCTCTGGAACTGGCTGAATTGCCTGGATCTCCAGAAGGTGCTGGACTGTCAATTCCATGAAGAGTCACTTTTCCCAGTTCCGAGATACGGGGCAACTGATGAAAAATCTTAGGGGGGGGGGGTGGAGAGAAATTCTAGGGAGAGGCCGAATTTCACCATCCCCTTGACCCAGGCATCCATGGTTATCTCCTCCCATCGGCTGACAAAGAAAGCTAATCAGTCTCCAATGGGAAGGTTCTCTAGGCAGTCACTTTCAATGCCGAAAGGGGTGACCTACCCCACCCCTGAAGGATCTCTTGGGTGGAAAGCACTGGCTGCTTCTACCTGCACTGTCCTGCTGCTGACCCTGCCTGGAGGGGAGTTGTCTCTGCAGATGGGGGAGGTTGAATCTCCCATCCAACCCCCAAAAGGGTGAGTGGCAAAAGTAGGGAGGAGGTTGAGCCTCAGCACACTAATAGAGGGATGGCAGAATTTTCTGTTTATCCCTGGACTCCATTAGCAGTGGCTCAAATTGTCTAAATGTGAATTCCACAGGACGCAACTGGATTACATTGGTTTTGTATTTCACCTAAAGGGGTGGAGATAGACTCCACGAAGGTAAAGGTGGTGTTGGACTGGCAAGCTGCTAAAACCCGCAAGCAGTTGCAGAGTTTTTTAGGGTTTGCCAATTTCTATCGCCAGTTCATTCCATCCTTTGCTCAGTGGCCCTTCCACTAACTAACTTCTTACGCACAAAACATCTAACAACAAATCCTGGACAGGGAAGCCCAGTTGTGTGGACAACAGCATGTCAGCAAGCGTTTGAGCATCTGAAGTCCTTGTTTGCACAAGAGCCAGTACTGAAACACCCAGAGCCCACTAAGCCATTTGTGGTTCAGGCAGATGCCAGTGATTTGGCAGTGGATGCAGTCCTCTTACAAAAGAACAATGAAGGAGCCCTACAGCCATGTGTGTACACCTTGAGGAAGTTGACAGGGACCGAACGCAACTGGTCCATTGGAGAAGAAGGTGTTTGCAGTCCGGTGACCCCTATTGACGTGGCGGCATTTACTAGAAGGGAGAGGGATACCCTTCGAGGTCTGGATGGACCACCAGAATTTGGAGGCCCTCCAGACCCCACAAAGATTATCGCCAAAACAAGTTAGATGGGCCTTGTATTTTCGGTGATTCAACTTCCAATTAAAATATATACCGGGGGGCAAGAACCTCTTAGCCAATGCCCTCTCCTGCAAACCATAGTATCATAGATTTATTATAGATTTTATTAATATTTGTAGGCCGCCCTTTTCCCTGAGGGGACTCAGGGCGGCTCACATAAAATCCGGGAGGGGGAATACAGACATTGACATA